GCATTGAAAAGGACAAGGAGGAAGATAGTCTCAGCCTTTCATCTTTCTTTCTTACTTGTTTTGAATGCTCCATTCTGACAGTTTAGCACATAGCACATACTTATTTCGTATCAGCATCTAGCACAGTAGCCAAGTATCTTCCCCCTTGAGTAGAATTTTACTCTGTTCACTTTCTGTACTACTTTAGATAGGTTCTGAAATGTATGCCAGAAATATATTAAACAGTTTGATGAGCATTCATCATAGGTGGTTCTGTCTTTCTCAAAATGAAAGTTATGTGAAGGTTTTAATTATATCTTTTAATATTATGTCTGTTTATTGTGTTTTCATGGATGAGACTAATGTATATCTTGTAGATAGGGTGAGTTTGATGTGTCATTTTAATCTGCAGAGGCTGCATCTCAAATTTGGTTAACACTGGGAAGAGCTCTGACTCTTGCTCTTACTGGGGATCAGTTCCATTATCACCAACCTGCCCCAAAACTTAAGAGGTTTTCTTTTCCAGTTGTCCTGAACCCACAAAATTGAGTGCACTTAAGTAAAAGTACCAAGTCTCTCAATTTGGCTTACTCATTAGGGAGTATGGCAGGCTGTGAAGAACATGTTTACTTTGCTTATAGTAGTTGGTTTTGCTAGATAGAAATGTCATATTATTGAGTTTATGCTAATATTGTCCCAGGTAAACATCACTTGATTATCTGGTATATATGTTGCTGAGCTCCAACAGCAGCTTTTCTCTGTGGAGTAACTAATGTGGATTTCTCCTCACTACTTGGACACTGATTTTCAGGAAAACATGAAACTTCTCCAAATCTGATATATTTGAGATCTTTCTTAAGAAGATTTGGTTGAAATAGGCTAAGAGGTTTAAAAGTTCTGGGGAAGGGGGGGATAAAGAAAAGGGAGAAAATGGGAAGGACGCAGTGACAGACAGGATGCTTAGAATGATTTGGGTTTTCCTGTTGGTGAGATTGCTGGCAGGCAAAACCGGATGATGATGAGTTACAAAGGTGAATTTAATGTCCTGTGAAAAAATTCACTCTGACATGTCCTTTTCTTATCTCAGAGCATGCTCCTAGTTTGGGCCATTTTGCTGAGTATGTTTTACTACATCTTATTGTTTTAAAGCCTGGTTTCTAAAGCTGACTCGCATCGCCCTCAGACATTGTCAAGGTCAATATGTGGTGGTGAGATTTTCACCTGTTGTAAACTCAATTCAAAGTAGATGCAGTCTTGCGCCCTGCGATGACTTAGGGAATCTGTGTAGAATTTATGAATTCTATTTGGTACTGAGGGTCATAATTTTGTTCTGTCAGGCTGGAAAGTCCAGAATCTCAAGGCTTCTTTGCAATGTAGAGAAGTTGAATGTTTGCAGAAGGAAGAACATAAAATAGCATTATTTCTCTTGTTAACCTCACCTGCCTCCAGCTAATCTGTTTTACCTCCCCCTTATTCCTTTCAGCCAGCATAGCAAACTGTGCAGTGCCCTCTGGGAATTATGCTGGCTCTTGCCTTTACTCATAAAAGGAGCAGGCTTGGCCCAGCCTGCTTGCTCTCAAGGGAAGCTTAGAAGCAAGAATTCATTGCTGAGTAAAGGTATTAGGGAGCAGGGGAAGAAAGCATACGCATGCAAAGTCCTGTCTACATCCAAAGTTACCATGCCCATATCTGAGTCCTCCTGGTTTCTTTCCTGTCTTCTTCCTCAGCCCTCCCAAAAACTCCTTCTGACAATTTGCCCTATCTTAATGCCAGATTGAATTATTCTTTTTTTTTAAGATCAGGAGAGCAAAACACAGTTTTGTTTACTGGCCAGCTCAGACTGTTGGCATTTGGGATTGGTCTGGGAGGAAGCACTGAGCTGATGGGCTGAGTTGTCCTCCATGGGCGTTCACTCTCCCGAGGAGCACTATCAGCCAGTCTGCCTCCTTCAGTGAACAGAAAGCAAACGGTCTCCTTTCCTGTACTGGAAGTGAGGAACTCTCCTTATACAGAAAGGTTCTGTGAAATTAAGGTGAAAAAACACAGGGGTTTTTTGTGTCTTGTTTTGTTTTTGTTTGAGAAAAACATAGATATTTTTCTCCATCCTCTACAAGGAAGATTATGGAAAAATACTCCCAAGAGTAATAGGGGTAAAGAAGAACAAAGAGACATGACCTAATAAAGCAGTGACTTCCCACAACCACTTGTGTTAAATGCTGCAAAAGGACAAGTGGTAAAGACTAATTCCTAACATGAGTGTTCCTGGAGCAGTAAGTGTTAGGACACACATGGTTTGTTTGTAATAAGAGAAAACACTGGAATTGTTTCAGGAAATACTAATAACTGAGCCATTAATAAACAAGAATTGCAATATAATTAGGCTAGATGTCTTTATGCAAACAGTCTTTTCCCCAAATAAACCAACAGCCACAAAACAAAAGCCCTAGTGCAGTGTCGGGACTGTAAGAGCTTGGACTTTAAAATGAGGAGGCAGCTCCAAAAAATCCCCAAGTCAAAACACAAGAATAGTATCAGGGTACTGAAGTAAGTTGTGATGTTTTGAATATTGCTTGGAGTTCTGAAAAGTTTCTTTGCAGAGAGGGTGTTGATCTGTGGAGACACCTCCCCAGGACCTAGAACCTTAGCATATCACCTGCAGTCTCCAGACTCTAGCTGTGTTTGAAGGTGCCTGCACAGTGCTTTGTTTAGACTTGCTGATTTCTGAAAAATTGAAAGCCCCAATTTTGCTAGCTTCGCCTAAATTTGCCTGTATCACCAGACGAGATGGTAAAAAATGTCGAACAAAGACCTAGTGAGGAACATATACAGGTAAGTTTCTAATTATGTGTGGAAACGAAGTTACCAAATGATAATGAAATATGAAACTCAATTCTGGATTACAGTTAACAAGACTCCTTGGTTGCTGGCTGCTCAGTGCTCATCATCTAGAGCTAGATGTTCCTCCTGGAGCATTTACAGAATCTCTGGACCAGTCAGGGCTGCCTCTCCTGGGCTTGGCCACTCACATAGTTTTTTAAAAGAATCCTGCTTCCTTTCAATATGGACAACGTATCTGGGGCTTTACTGGAGGCTTGTACCTTTCAATAGTGAAAATACTCTAGGGTGTCTTCTGAGCTGCTTACCTTCCTGTCCGAGCAGACAGTTTTTTTTGTGGTAGCTTTAAACAGCTTTTCCAGATCCGTCTGGTGCAGTCTAAGTGTCCAATGACATACTACTTATAATGAAGGCTGTTAATGTGTGGCAGGTTTTGGCCTCTGTTCTTTGGTATGGTCTCAGCCACGTGTGAAGACCTTAAGTGATGCACTGCCATTAGGAGTGCCAGAGGGTGCCTAGCCCAGCCAGCCTTCCTCCTTCTCCTTACCGTGTACAGTTTAGAGGTCCTTATGTCAAAGTGACCCACTCGCTTTGGTGAGGGTTGAGAAAAGACATGATACACTTGGTAATTTAGAAGTTATATAGTTCTCTGTGTCTTTTATTTTGGATTTAAAAAAAAAAAAAGGTGAGAGAAAGCACTCCTGTTTTTTTTAAGGCAATGGAAGCCCCTCTCACCTTGTGTGCGTTATGGGTCTTTCTTCTGCATATGGAAGCAAAAGTGGGTTCTTACGTACTCGTAGATAAATGAGGAAGGAGGAGAAAATGTAAAGGTTAGGAAAGAAAAAAACAGTTAAAACTGAAGAGGCCAGTTTAAGACAATTGGAGGTAAGAAAGTGAAAATACACCCACTCTTTGAAGAAAGATGTGTAAATTATGCTAAGTAGAACATCTTCTAGAAGAGCTAAGAGGGTGACAGGTAGAGTTAACAATGGAAATACATGTACAAAAAGTGCATATGCAAGCTTATACCTAAGAAGCAGGACTTTACAGAGAATTGGTGCGTTTGGGAGACTTGAGAGAATGAGAATCATCCAGAAGGACACAGATACTGTAAAGAGAGTATTTGCTCAGTTTTCACCATGGTAATGTTGGGGTGATGCCTACTCTTTTGCAGCTGTTTCTAGGTAGGACGTTAAAACAAGCTGATATGTTCACGAGCAGCAGTTCAGTCAGAGCAATACATTTCCAGAAGAGCTGGAGGAATTTAAAAGTGAAAGCTCATGCTAAAATTATTTATTGAAATCATGAAGTCTTGGACGTGGAAGGGTAGCAAGCATTGTCTTCCAAAGTGATGCTCTCAGATCTGCTGAGAATAATTGGCATCCGTCTTGCTCTGGAGTATCTGATACTAGCTGCTCAGATAAAATTATTAAACTAACTGGATCACTGATCAGTGTGACGATTTTTACATTAAGGAAGAAACAAGCCTGAACAATAGGAAGTGGAACATTCTTGTGTTTTGAGTTAATCTTGTTGCACTAATCTTGTTCTTCAGCATGTGGTAGCGGGAACAGTTTATAGAAATGTGCTTTCAGAATGTTGTTTTTATGACTAGCTCTAGAGATCTTAATTCTTTTAATACATCTAAAGCAGAAAGCTGTATAAAATGAAATGGGATTGAGTTTTTGTTTGGTACAGGCTGTTAGTAAGGATCCAGCAAGAGCATCATAAAAGTCAATTTTGAAAATCATGCCTGACCTCCTGCCTTTCCAGAAGTGAAAGGACATTTTTCTTACTAGAAACAAAATAAAAAATGAAGTCATTATGTTTGTGTAGAATACTCTGTATGTAAAAACACTATATGATGGGAAATTGCCAGTGGCAGATGAGATTTGGTTCAGAAATATTCAAACTTTGAATTAGAAACATGAGCAGATTGCTCTAACGTATGCGCGGTTTTCCCTTCACATTATGTATCTTCTTTTAAGACTGGTGGTATGGATAAGGTACTCTAAATGCACCTTGTATTTCTGGTAAAACACACTTATCTGTGACTTTTACAGGGAAAATGTGAAGAGAATCTTTTATCACAATAACTATGACACATTCTAATATTTATTTGAAACTTGGGGTTTAGATATATTTTAAGAGAATTAAGAAGTTTGGTTTTTTTTTTAACTTCATAGCCTTGCTGATGCATGGGAAAATGATATGGGAGTTCATCCTTTAAAGTTTCCATCAGAAACATGTTTGGAATTACTGCTGATACTGGGTTTGAGTACCACCTCTCTGCCACCTTCACTTCGATGCATGAACTCTTTTCAGGTAAGGAACAGCTGCTATTTTGGTATAAAGGTGTTATTTCTAGGAAAAAGAGAGATCCCTGGGGCCCGTAAACCCTTTCAGAGTAAAGGTTTATCTTCTGTAGTTGCATGACTCTCCATTATATTAAATATAGCAATGGAGAACTTCTTGTAGTGCTCAGTTTCTTTCAATTGTATTAAATGTAGACCAAGGCAGGAAATGTCATTGGATTTTTAAACAGTGAATCACTGTTTAAATTAAATTAGATGTTTAAAGAAATTTCATCAAACTTAGGCTGGAGTAGCTAGAATCATTATATAAAATTTTCTTGGCTTCAGAAAAAAAAAAAATCCTCAGCTAAAAATAAAGATTTCCAGTGGTGAAAACCTATAAAATTAGGAGTGAAGCATTCACTGTTTTGTCCAGTGTTCTTCTGTATGTTGCTGCTGAAGTTCTCAGCCGTCACAGAAATTTTCCTAAAAAAACATTGTTGCAGGTATGTTAAATTGTGATTTGTATTTATCAAGTGTCTGAAGACATACAATTTTTACAAATGAAATACACAGACATCTCAATTCATGATGATACGATATATCAACTCAGGATTTTATGCTTCTGTCTTCCCTTGTAGTACATAGTCCATCAGTTGTGTATTGATGCAAATCTAAAGTAACCAGCTGTTGAGCAGTAAGCATACTTGAATCTGTGTTCGTTCTGACAGCTATAAAAGAATCAACATCTTAGTGGGACTGAGTGTCCTAAACAGTTTATAGCATGAAATCTGGTTGCTTCTATTTGTCCATACTCCCAGTTTGTAGTTAAAGCACGTTTAATTAGTGTTCCTGAGTTATGTTTACTGAAAAATTACCTTATTGTAGAATTTTGGAGCCAGAAAGAACATGGTCATAAACCAAAATCAAGTAATTGATTTTAATAGAGTTACACTGATGTACAACTGCTGAAAACACATCTAGATGTTAGGAAATAAGTATGCACCTGCATTGTCTGCTCCCTTTGTATCTTGTGAGGCTGGAAACAGGGGATCTGTGTACAGGGAACTCTTGGGTACGGCAGCAGCCATTGATGATTTCAACATGATATTTTAATACCCAAGGTCAGAATTGTTATTGGGTTGTACATTCGGAGGCCATAAAATTGAAGAATCTCCTGAATGCCGGCAGAGTGAGATCGTAAAAATTACAAGCTTCAAGGATTGACCAGTACTGGTTATCCATGCAGTTGAATAGTCCATGTTTCCTATTGAGAAGTGAACATTTTGGTGGTCTAATCCAAAAGAATGTATTCCTTGTCCGTTACGTTGCCAGTAATCTGTGGTAAAGTCTTCTCCGCTTTACCCGTGATAAGTTAAATAGGAGTCTCTTCTTGTATGCTGAGGCTGTATGTCCTGTCTTGTTTCTGTGCGTACTCAGTCCCAGGTTGCGCACTTAGGATTTCCTTTGATTTGTATACGTGGGTAGAGATAGGAAGTGACAAGTGACTGGTGCAGATATGAATCGGTAAACGCAGGAAGGATTTTTACCTCAGAGTACACAAAACACCAGACTTTTTTCTTTTTCCTTGTCAGACTCTCCATGATTACGCTTGATTGCTCCTGGGTCATTTTAGCTTCGTGAGGCTATCTCTGGTAATGAACCGTCGCCCTAGAGGCCCGCCATGCGCGGCCTGGAAGCGAGTCAGGGGTATGGTTATGTCAGCCGTGGGGCGGGAAGGTCCCATGCATCCCCTGGAGACCCCCTGACCGTGGCCTTTCAAACTCAAGGTTCGGTGGAACCACCGAAAGCAAATGTTGCAGTGCTTTGTCGAACTTAAGTACTGTGGGGGACAGCGTCTTCCAGCACTGGCCTGCGCAGATCTCAGTTTGCCCACCTGTGTGCCAAAGTAGGTGATGTGACAATGTCCGTTCTTGGTTGCGAACGTGATTTTAGGCTGAAGATACTACATTTTGAGCTGATTCCCAGTGTCTGTGCTCTCACAGCAACAAGAAAGGCAAAAATTCATAGTCTTCAAAAATCCCGAGTTCTGAAACCTGCTCTGATAAGATAATGTTATATTTTGCCAAGTGGGAGGAAAGGAAAATGGCTGTTTTAATAAACTTCTGGCTCCGAATTTCACTCTCCTTGCCAGACAGTCAATATCACCAAGTGTTTGTCCTGAAGGGCAAACACCATCCAGGAAAATATTGTTTTATTTATTTTTATCCTTGCGAACCTTGTTTGGATCTCAGTTTGGGAATCCATGAAGCAGAAACAAAGTTTGCCCAAGCTTTTCACTGATGCTTTACAATGGGCTGTCAGCCTTATCACTTTTCTTTTCTGCCTTGCTTCTTTGTACTCATGTTCACTTTCTCTACAGCAAATATTAGAATTATGTGTCCTAGTTTTTCTGTATTTTTCTTGGAAAAAGTTGGCAAGATCTGCAAAGAGCTTGAATAATGATATTAAATTGTGCTATTGCCTGAGCATAAGATCCTTCTGCATTCAAAATACTGAGGATTGTGCGTCAAACAGAATAATAAAAGGGCACTAATTGAAAACTGATATTTCATGTGTCTTAATGGAGCAATGGCAAAATGACAAAAACTAGTTTTGTTTTCTTTTGTGGTAGACCTGCAGTGGTCTAGGAAAAAATAAAATTAATTCTATATTACAATAATCCTTGTATTTGAGCTGAAAACAATCGCAGAGTTTCCTGTTATCCACATGTGGCAGTCTTGTTCTTCAGGAGGCCAGGCTCTCACAGCTTAACGCTGGCATCTGATTGCTGGGGGAGTTAGAAGGGGAAACGACTCCAGAAAGTGCCAGAATTTTCTCCCTTCATAAGTGTTCCCACTGTTGGACTAGTGGTGTGGAGCTGAATGGACCGCTAGTTTCCACTGGTGCATTTTTTATGTTCTGATACAGTATTTTAAAATACATCTAACAGGCAGCTGTATATGTAGTGATCTAAAAGTTACAGTTTAACTCCTGAGATCATACCAGTATAGCTTTAAAACGTCCAATTGTTTGTAATTAGGTAGACAAAAATTATCTCAGCTGTACCTCTGTGTTGTTTGAGACTGTATTTACCCTCTCTCTCTATTATATTACAACATTACAGTGTTTGCAAGCCAAAATTTTAGTTGGTATACATATGCATTGGATGATGTTTAGGTTGTAAAAAGCACACGAAGGAAATAAGCTTAGTTGCTAATCATCTCTGTAATAAACTCTGTTCTGCTTTGTGCTCTAGAAGTGCTCTCTGGGACTAGCTTAGCAGACTCCATATCTGTGCTGAGACATAAATTACATTTTAGTTTCCAACAGTGTGCTACTGCTTAGTAACATAATATTAGAAATCACTTTTCAATTCCATTTTGACCCTGTGAAGATCTTCCAGTGTGATTTACGTTGCTGGAGCAGCCTGGAGGAGAGGAGCAGCAGCAGACTATGTTACATAGCTCTCTGCTGATTTTAAGGGGGTCGGTGCTCACTGCAGCCAGCTTTTAAGCTTCCCAGGCTGTTGATCCTAGGTGCTAGATTGTCTTTGGCTCGTCTCTCATTTTACCTGTGCAGTTAAAGTGACATTATTCTGGTTAACCGTAGACAGTTAAATCTTAGCAAGCCTGAGCCTGGAAGCTCTTGAGGGACCAAAGTGGGCAGACAAATTCTTGCTGATTGATGGCTGCCTCCAGGTTTACTGGAGAACATGGATTTGCAGCCCTGAGTTTCATCTTCCCAGGCTTGTAATCCCTCACCCATACTAAGGATGTTTCGGATCAAGGGAATAGGATTGACTGAGACACTTGATATTTGTCCTGAAACAATGCAGAAAGCAGTAAGAAGGGCGAGAGGAGTTGGCTACTAGGAAAGATTGAAAATTTTCTTAGCTTGCTTTTGCTCTGAGCATTGTTTTGCTGTTCTCTGCTCAGCTCTGTTACTCTGTACAGAAAGCTGTGTTACCTTATTACACCCTTGACCTATCTGGCTCTCCACTCACCTGAGCTGTCAGCTTTAGGAACGGTTGGGCTTGACTTTGTGTATTATTCTTAATACTTGCAAGCACTTGTAGCTAGCACCCACTTGAGTTATCGTGTACTTTATCACTGAACTGTTCAGCTGCTACTTCTCAGTGGGGTCTGGGAGGATGTGTTGGTACTTTAGAGCCTACGACACAGAACAGTTAACACAGGGAGATGCTTTAAAGTGACAAGTAATCTCTGCTGTGTTTTGCTAACCTTATCTCGTCTTTCTCTGAATTCAAGCACAGTGAACAGAAAATGTCCTGGATATTGAATTCTTATGATGATATATGGGGCTGTTCAGCACATTCTTTCTCACTGCTGTTATTGTGGTAAAGCAGGCATTTTACTTCCCGTATGAAGGCACTATTCATAAGGCCACAGACTGTAACAAGAGTTCTCAGAGTTAAATAGATCATGGTTTTATTTTTACTTTTAAAGTTGCGTGAAATTGAAAGAAGATTGTGATTAAGAACTGCCAAGCAGTTTCAAAATTTTGTTTGAAATAGCCCTTGATACTCTTTGGTGCTGCACCCAATGCCACTGGTAGCTTATCAGCACACTGTCCACTTTGGTTAAGAGAAGTAGAGCCAGCGTTTAAGACAAAACAAAAAGTGTTCATTCTGTTGTTGCAATAAGCATTCCTAGAGGTGCCTCTGAAGGAAAAACTCATTTGCAGTTACCTTGCTTCCAACAAAAGGAGGGGAAAAAAGTTTCTCATAGAGCAGCCTATCAAGTCATTTTTCAGGGTCATTTAAAGTCTTTTAATCAAGTGCAGAAAACTTCCTAAAAGTGACAGGTTTAGAGATATGAGGTAGCAAGTTGCTCAGAAAACATAAGAATTAATAAATACAGTATTCATTATAGTTTAATGGCCCTAGTTATATGAGTATCAAAAGTACTCAAAAGACTCATGGAAGGCAAAATACAAAATTACTGCTGTCTTTCAAGTCTACACATGGTCTGAACTAAAGTGTGCCTTGATAGTCAGTGTTTTTTAATA